GCAATGGGCTTAAATTGCAGCAAGGGAGGTTTAGATTGGACATTAGGAAAAACCTCCTAACTGTCAGGGTAGTTAAGCACTGGAATAAATTGCCTAGGGAGGTTGTGGAATCTCCATCATTGGAAATTTTTAAAAGCAGGTTAGACAAACACCTGTCAGGGATGGTCTAGATAATACTTAGTCCTGCTATGAGTGCAGGGGACTGGACTAGATGACCTCTTGAGGTCCCTTACAGTCCTACAATTTTATGATTCGATGATCATTACTGATAAGCAAAAGCAACATTGGCACTAAAAGTACAGAAGGCCCAATTCTCTGCTCACTCCAACTCTGTATCACTTGACACGATTGGTCCTGATGTACAGCTGTGAAGTGAGAGGCAAATGAGGCCCAAAATGTCTGTTTCTTTGGATGCTTCTCTGAAGTCAGATGAGATTTCTCGGCTTCAGTAAAATAGGTGATACTCTTACATAAGTAGTAAGATGACTGTTATTAAGTTACTTAGTAAATGATAATGCTGAAATCTTTCTAATTTGCTAGGCTGAATGAAAAGTTATTCATAGTCACCCTTGTTCCCTTAATAGCTACCTGTCTAATCTAGATATGTGTATGGCTCCCATTGCTCCAACATCTAAGTGCCTCCCAAGTGTTTCTGGGTTTTTCCTCACAACATCCCTCTGACGTATGGAAGTAGTGTTCTCTATCAGTAAAATGGGGATAGCTGATAGTTTCCATTATACCCTTAAAATCACTAAGACTCTAGGCATGGTGTTGGTCTCTTTGAGTCTTCTCAGAAGTTTTGTCTCTTAGATCACACTGGAAGTGGAGAAGATAAGTTTCATGGTCATTTTTCTTTTGGACATTTTCTGTTTTTAAGTTATTTTTAGTGCATAAATGATCCAACAGACTCGTACAAGATAGTATTGTATGAGGCAAGCCTATCCACTCTATTTTGAGATAGATTTAATGTAAGTAATTATAATTGTACAGTCTTCAGGGCAGAGCCTGAGATTTGTACGGTACCTGTTGCAATGGCACCACATACAGTGGTAGGCTCTCTCAACAGGCCATTCCCTCACAAAAACTCACAAAATCACAAAATAGATTTTTTTTCCCAGAGCAAAACTGGCTGAATCTTATGACAGGCAGCTGGATCTTATGACAGGCAGGCAGCCTTTAACCCTCTCCTGGCTGTTCCACCCTGTCACAGACTCCATTCTGATTGGGGCCCCTGGGCATTACTGTAACATAAATAAATACTTTCTAACACTTCTACAGGGGACTGATACGGCTGGTCTCATGGGACATATATAGAATAGTGGGGGAGCATAGGGTTTGGGGCAGACACCATGGCCTATTCGACAGAGTGGGGAGGAAGTGATGAAGGCAAATCCAGCTACCCAGATACAACAATTCAGGATAAACTTCTGCAAGGAGTGACAATCAGCCTTTTGTTTGCTTCAGTGTTTGTATTTTAAAAGTTTGCAATGGAAACCAATAACCAACACGTTTCTGTGCTTGATTTTTTCTATATTGTGTTTTTTATTGGAAATCCACTCACATTAAGATGATGATATGTGATCCATACAGACGTAAATAATCATTATTACAAAATGACACCTATGACATTTACTAAGGCAATATTTCCCTAATGTTGTTAACTCTCTGTTTTACTTATGATTGGAATTGGAATTCTACATTATTGGCTGTGAATGTTCCTGAAACTGTGCACCAAGTTGATTTTAAAAGAGCTCTGGCATCCTGACTCTATTTTTTTGGTGGGGGAAAGGGTATACCGTATTCATTACACTGAAATCTGAAGTAGCAACAATTTAGTAGCATAGTGGAATTTTGTTTTGTTCCTAAGACAACATAAGAGTTAATATAGTCAGTATTGCAAGTATGATGAATTCCCTAAATACAATACAAGGAACTGTGGTATTTACAAGTTGTTGGGTAATTTAGAGAATTACTGCTATACACTGTCAGCTCCTGGCACTCCTCTTCCTCTATAGTTTAATGACCTGAAAATAAGGTACACGGAGTTGTTACATCTCTGTATCTTTACACTGAAAAGCCAAACAAAAGGAAATGAATGAATAACCAATGTTTTGCCACCTCCGGGCCTTTAACCAGGGTTCAGCTAGATCAGGGGTAGGCAACCTATGGCAAGCGTGCTGGCACGCAAGCTGATTTTCAATGGCACTCACACTGCCCAGGTCCTGGCCACGGATCCAGGGGGATCTGCATTTTAATTTAATTTTAAATGAAGCTTCTTAAACATTTTAAAAACCTTATTTACTTTACATACAACAATAGTTTTGTTATATATTATAGACTTATAGAAAGAGACCTTCTAAAAACGTTAAAATGTATTACTGGCATGTGAAACCTTAAATTAGAGGAAATAAATGAAGACTCGGCACACCACTTCTGAAAGGTTGCCGACCCCTGAGCTAGATGATGCTGTTTCACCATTGACTCCACTTCCATCACTAGCTCCAATCTCAGAGTAGAAACTCATAATGCAAATTGATGGGAGAGTCTCTAAGCTTTGTCCATCATGCTGCTTAGTGTGTCTGTGAGAAAGTAATGCTCATGAAAGGTGTCATACTGAAGACCATGGAGCCTGAATTCTCTCCACCCTCAGTGTTCACTTTGCCTCTTTAATTCTGCACCTTGCAAAGTGTGCACAAAATAACGCAGAGCTCCTGCAGAGCCTTTGTCTCAGTTCCTGTGAAACCCATTTTAATGTTGGAATGGGACAGAAATGCTGAGGCATCTTTGAACATAACCTGAGTAGATTAGTGTGAAATATTAACATTCTTTTAATGTATGTTTTGGGTGAAATTTAATTTATATTTCATAGAGATGGAACATGTTAAGCAAATGCTAATTAATTACTAAAATCTTGGGGCCAGATCCTGCTCCTGTCAAAATCAAGGGCAAAAATATCCCTTTGACTGCAGTGGAGCGGAATCACGCCCCTCCAATAGTTAGAACTGAATCCTGCAAGGTGCTTCTGAGTGCTTTTGTCAAGTGCAACGTGGAGGAAAAGGGAGAAAGGAGCTTCCTCTATCTTGCATAACTGTAACCTGCATAAGTACTGGGCAGAATTACAGCCCTAGGGGCAGGGCAGCCTAAAGGGGGCAGGGAGGAGTGGAGCTGTACCCCCTCACCTCTACATGTCAGTGTCAGGGTAGTTGTATGTACAGGGAAGTTCCAGGAGAAAAGTTTGCCTCTGAGGCGCCATGGCTCTCCATGGGCCAGAATGGATCTGCACTACTCCAATGGCAAAACTGTTTCTTCAAGACCCAGACTAGGCCTTGGTAATGAGGTAGCCCTGAATTTCAAAGATGTTGTAATGATCAAATTGCTTTTCATTTGTCATACAAAAGCTACTCTGTTAATACTTATCAAAAGATGATACAGACATGTGAGCGATACACTTACAATCCGTTTAATAGTGTCGATTTTTAATAATCAAAACAGTTTGTTTAACATATACTGATATGTGCAATCAAAATTAAATGCTTACTTGAGATAATTTAAGACATGAAAAAAATATTGCTGGAGACAATTTATGACAGAAGAAAGACATCTGTGATATTCTTATCTGCAGCCCATTCTGTTATATCCTGTCTTGACCTTCCTTAGCCCTTGTCTCTGTCTGAATGTGCTTATAGCATGTGATAGATCCTTCTTCCTGCCCTTACTGTGTTTTTGTTACATAACATAGTTTGTGTTCTGAAATTCTTGTACAATGTATGAAGAGAAGCAAATCATTAGATTAAGAATATGATTGGAGGATTTGCAGTTATCTCCTTTTTTGTTCTTATGTTTTAAGAATAATTTTAAAGTACTGATTTTTATCATTTGAAATCTCTTGGCTAAAGTTTCATTAACATTCACTGAAGTCACATAGGTGAAAACCTGCAGAACTCTCCTCTTTTTTTAAATGCTTTGATCTTTGGGATTTGTGCTAGCATTTTAAGTTACTGGATAACTAAAATAAATTTACATTGGACCTTTGAACTTACAGAGCCCCAAAGAATGTTACAATCCATGGAGCAAGTTCAGGGCTTCTTCACATTGCCTGCCTTCAAAAAAGGATGCAAACTGAAGTTACAGAAACAGTTTTGTATCTGCATTATTAACAGACAGGAAGAGTCTGCATTACCCCTGCACATTATTTGTGTCAGAAGTACAAATAATCCCATCAGAGGAGGGTACATCGCAAATCGGAGGAGTGCATTGGAATGTTAAATACAATAATGACTCAGCATAACCATGTTTCTGGAGAGGAAAATCAGAAAGGTGAAGATACAGGGCAGATAACATAGGAATGGAGAACTGCTCTTGCCACATACCACATCCTATTGCATATAAAACACCCTTGCAGACACTGTTTTAGATGTGAGATGAGTGCAATTTTTAATGTATTTTTCTTAGTAGATGTGTTGAAACCTGAGGATGAAATCCTGGCTCCATTGAAGACAATGGGAATTTTACTATTGACTTCAGTGTGGCCTGAATTTCACCCTGAGAGTGTTGGGTTCGGCAGACCCTTAATGTATTGGTTCCTTATTTTAAAATGGTTATAGATCTACCAAACAATCACAGGAACATATTAAACTGTTTTTTGAAGTATTTCTTTTTAATGTAGGGTTGGAGAGGGCAGGTATCTCTTTTCAAGATGTCATAGTCCTTTTAAGAGAAACGGCTTGAAGAGAAGCTATGCAATGCTAAAGAAATCCTAGGGAAAACTTAGGAGTTAAATGTTCAGTCAAATATGCTCATTTTCAAGCAAAACTGTGCTCAAAGTTTTGTGGAAAGAGGTCTAAATCTTGGTGTTCATTGGCACAAATAGTTTGCTCTTCTGCTTTGGATTAAAATTATCATAGCAGGGGCTGTTCAATAACTCTAATTTGGCCATTAAATTTTTGCCACCTTTGCCCTTTCCTAATGATTGTGACAAAATGCTGTCTGCAATCAGCAACACTCAATCGTTGTGAGAATAATTTGAATAAATAATCAAGTCTGCGGCTCATCCATCACCTTGACTGATTTCTCTATTCCCTGTTCACCTCTTCATGACATTTGGCAGGTCACTTGATATAAAATATGCAAACAGCAATCTGAAATAGCCCAAATCTGCTGAAATAAGCTGGCTGAACCTGTCTTCTTAAAGCAGCTATGAATCTTTTGTATATTGAGCAGAAATATTTGCTTAAGAATTTCCTCTCATGAGCTTAATGTTGTTTTAGACTTGACTCTTTTCCTATTTTTTCCAGATCTGTATAACATTCATAGAGCTTGCTACATACAAACCAACGTTGACTGAACCATAATATATAAAACATTACCTCTTAAATCTCCCACTTCCTAGGAAGGAAGCTGCCAATGAGAAAATGGACAAGGGACTGAGAGAGAGAAGAGAAGGGAAAATGAAAGAGTTTAAGAAAAAAGAGAAATAGGGGGAATCAAGTAAAAATGAAAGAGAGGTAAGAAAAGAAAAATAGAGACAATCCTAATTAGAATAGGGAAAGACCTATTATCATTGAGTCCTTTTTGTCAAAAAGGCAATGTGTCAAATACTGAAAGGATTCTACCTTACTAAAAACAGCACTGGGATGAACTTTGGGCTTGTCTACACACAGTCACTGATTTAAATAAATTGGTTTAGAAACTGATTTACTTAAATCGGTGAACCCCTGATTGTAGACACCCTTAAATCAATGTAAGAAGGTCCAAAATCAGGTTAGATTAAATGTTATAAACTGATTTAAACTAAACTACTATACAAAATTCTTAAACTGACTTAAGAGCATCCATACATGGTTATAGTGATTTAATATCACACCTTCAGTTAATCTAGTGCAGTTGCATGTGGATCAGTCCTTTGCTCTTCAACCCTCCTCTTGCTCTCTCATCTTCTTACCATTCCACTGTCTTTTCTTTCCTCTTTCCATTGTTCACCTCACCTTCTCCCATTTCAGTCTTCAGCATTAATCTCCTTTATTTGTGAAAGAGAAATGTGGTTTTACCATGGTGCTGGAAGTCTTGGATTCTAAACAAATCACTTATGGCCTGTAGTGAGGCAGCCTGGCTCCCAGCTGCCCCAGAGAGGGATGAGACCCTCTGGATGCCAAAGTGGGCGGAGCCACTGGAGCCTGCACCCGCCCCCCAAAGGTCAAAGCTCAGGAAGTATAAAAGCCCCACCCCAGGGCTCAGAAGCTGCCTGGCTGCTGGAGAAGCCAGATGCTGGGGGCCTAACTCCTGCTGGGGAGACTCCTGCAGCCTGTGACTGACCTGAGGACTGGCCATACCAGTCAAGGCCTGAGGACAACCAGACCCCGGAGAAGCTGTTAAGCCTACCGGTGAGAAGCGACCCAGAGGAGCTGCCAAGCCTACCGCTCACCGAGTACCCTGAGGAGCCCATGGTGCTTGAGTCTGTGGAGGACACCAACCAGATGCAGATACTGCTAGAGGGGGAGGTAGGAAGTAGCCCAGGGGCAGCTGACCCTAGTCTGGCTGTGGCACACCCACAGCCGATGTCAGTGTGTTGCGACCAGAATCCACCAGCAGGCTGCTTGCGGCTGTTAGGGCCCTGGGCTGGGACGCAGTGGAGTGGGCGGGCCTGCATCCCCCCTGCCACCCCACTTATGGGTGGAAGTCTCCCCCTCGCCCCAGATGCTCAGAACTGGGAGTCTGGGCCTGTTATGGAACTATTTGCTCAGCCCTGCCTGAGGGTCTGAGCTCCTGCTTGTTTGCTGCCCCGCCCTGACCCAGGGCCTGGGCTTGTCCTGAACTATTTGCTCAGCCCTGCCTGAGGGCCTGAGCTCCTGTTTGTTTACTGTCCCACCCTGACCCAGGGCCTGGGCTTGTCCTGGAACTATTTGCTCAGCCCTGCCTGAGGGTCTGAGCTCCAGACTGTTTGCTGCCCCGCCCTGACCCAGGGCCTGGGCTTGTCTTGAACTATTTGCTCAGCCCCTGCCTGAGGGCCTGAGCCCTTGACTGTTTCCTACCTCACCAGGCTAATTCCCCGATTCCCTGGACCTAAGTAGGGAGGCGGCCTGGCTCCCAGCCGCCCCAGAGAGGGGCGACCCCAACCGAACCCTTCCACAGGGCCCAATCCTGCTTTTCTTGACTTGACTGAGAACAGGTCTGGGCCTTTAATTAGTCTGTTCCACACATACTCCCTTTGTAAAATAGGAATAACAACTAGATCCCTGGATATTAGGACTAATTATTTACTGTTTGCAAAATACCATCAAGATTAAAAGTGCTAAGTATAATTACTTTGCTTACCACAAAGTCCTGGTCCTATTTCCATTGAAGTCACCCAGATTAGGCTTTCAAACATCTAACCAAATTGGTCCTTAAGCAGATGTAAACAGTGTGAAGATTTTGGCAGGCCCAACAAATAATGTAATAGTAACAGGTATTTATTTATCTGGCTTTTGTTATGATGGATAACAAATTCATACAAACTCCCACTATCTCAAAAAGATGCTAATACATAAAACAGAGGCATTAGTTAGTAATTTTATTCAGTCAGGTAGAATTCAACATCAGATGATTTAAAGGACACATGCTTTTTAGCCCCCAAAGCCCTCTTCTCCAGGTGTTTCACTATGCAGTGTAATAAAATCATAATAATACAAAAGAAATAAAATTCTACTTCTTTGGGAAAATATAAGTTCATAAAAGCAAGCTAATAAGCTAGTGAGATATGATATATGTCATGAAACAACTGATACTCACAGGTGGAAATCTCCATAAAAATAACACACATTTTTGCTTGACAAATATTTTATTTTAAGTCTCACAGCAATTAAATAATTCCCAGATTAATTTTCCTGGTATCCTAAACAGCCAATAAGAAAGATTGCATTCTTTAGTCTCTTATATTTTCATATAGACTCTCAAACAAAACTTTCAGTCACCTTTTCAGTAATGTTTCCTCTTGTACTTCAGGTGCAGAGCATAGTAACCTTTTACCCAAAGGGCCATATTTAGGGCATCTGGAGCCAACTTTCAGCTATGCAGGTAGACATATATTACTGCATACCACATAAATTTAGTTTCTGAGACAAATTAAGCAGTGAGTATGAGGCCAGAGGAGTCTAAGGAAGTTTAACATGGTACAACTAACAGCTCTTTCAAGTCTCACGTATCTTGTACTAAGCTGGACTCACTAAGCTAAGTCCTGGTCTTATCAAAGTCAATGGAAAAACTCCTATTGACTTGAGTGGGACCAGAATTTGGTCCATTTATACTTACTTAGTCACATCTACTTTACTGATACGTAACTTACAACCCTTTACACATCACCTTTGAATTTGTCAGAAGCGTGGGGGAGGGGAGGTCCTATAATGTGGCTGAAATACACTTCAGGAAGAGTGTAACTTGCAAGGTCCATTCACTGGAGTCTGGGGCATAAGTTAGTCTGGGGGCAAATATGAGCAAATCCAAGACATGATGGGGAGTGCTAAATTGCTCATGCTGAGTGATCTTATTATGCTATCTTCAGGGACTAATCTTCAGTGAGTTAACACAGTTGAAAGGTAGATGACTGAGTAAAAAGCAGATAGAAGGGAAGGTTGCAGAGACCATGTTTGTTCCAATGACCGAAATTCATGGGAGGCATTCCATTGACTTTGAGGGGTGTGGGATTGGTCCCCAGATAAATAAACACTTTGGAATAGACCTTGCATGTGATCTTTGTCCAAAGTGAATTCCAAACAACAGGAAAACCTGTGTTTGGATCAGATAGCCAGGGTCAGGTTGTGCTTCCTATCTTCCCTGAGGAGATGGGTACCTAAACCTGTGTGGCCTTGCTAAGACAGGTCTATTAGATTTTTCGTCTCTGGACAATGCTATATATAACTCAACCTAGAAGTACAGGATGGCAGAAATGATTCAGCTACCTGGCACTGAAGCAAATTGGTGGGCAGATGTGAAAGGTGGGCTAGCTGTATTTGTTCTGCTGACAGCACAGCGATAGTTGCTATTCAGAGGAGCCATTGGGTATTAGAGGATCCTATACATTCCCCAGAAGGTCGTGCAATTACATAGGTGAGCTAGGGCACACCCTGATGGTTCCAACATATTCTGTTTCTTTCATAAATAAATAAAACTTGCAGTGTCTTTTGCCGTTCAATCTTGCCATAATTGGTTCGCTGATTTTTTGTAGACTCATAGCAGAAGTGAGGATTTGAAGGAATAGCAGGTCTGATTCAGCCAAAGAGTTTTCAGACAGAGGACGCAGTGTGGGAGAAGCAGACAAACTGGGATTCAAGCCTGTCATCTTGGCAGAGTAGATGTAATGAGTGACTTAAGAGACAAGAGCAGCTAAGCAAGGAATAATATCAATTGCAATTAATTTGTTTGAAGATTTTTCAACCTTAAAATGTAGCTATAATCAGTCCTAACTTCAAAGTACTGTCAGTTTGTATTGTGTCAAATCAAAGATATCAAATATTTGCTTCCTCAAACCATAATGCGTGTGTCATGACAGAGGTGAAGCTGAGGAGAATAGCAAAATACAGTGTTTAAAAGGATGATAAATGCTCAGCATTTATCTAGCACAGTGGCTCTGAACCCCAGGTCACTTGCAGCCCAATCAGCACACAGCTGTGGGCCATGTGACATCCTCAGGGCCACACAGGGAGTATATATATTGTGTGGATGCGGCCGACATAACACATAGAGAGCTGCATATGAGGCCCACAATGGTAAATAGGTTGAGAACCACTGATCTTGCACTTAAATTTTGTACAAACAATCATTATTAACAAGATTTTCCATTGACAGAGCATTTGTTAATTATTCTAATGATCTCAAAGTATTTTAAAAAATGAGTAAGCACTATAGCCACCAGTTGAGGCCCAAAGAAGTTAAGTGACTTGTCCAAAGTAACACACTGAGTCAGCATCACAGCCAAATCTTAAAGTGAAGAGTTCCAAGTTTGCCAAATACTGCTTAGTTTACTAGACAACACAGACACTTTGGTAGGTTACTATTAGAGCAGTGTGGGAATTTTCCAACAAAATCAGTTTTTGTCAGAAGATGCTGATTTGTCAAAACAAATATTCTGCAAAAATGTATTGGTTTCAACAATCCCTGCACAACTTACTGCCTGCTTGTCTGGCAAGCTGCTGTTTAGCCTGCGGTTCTGGGATACACAGCTTCAGGGCACCTCCACCAAGCAGACTGCCCCATGGTCAGGGATGCCAGGGCTTCAGGGGTCCATGGCTCCAGTGCAATCCTGCCATGCAGACTGCCCCAGTGCTGGGCGCCCAAGGATTTCCAGGCTTCCTGCCACAGAATTGGTGCCTGGAAGCCTTGGTAGCCTTAGCTGGGGGTCTCAGGGCTTCCAGGCTCCCTGCCAGAGAGCCAAGAGCCTGGAAACCATGGCTGCTCCCAGAAGTTCGATTTCCAGACTTCCTGCTGTGTCGTTTGGAGTCTGAAAGCTCTGGCTGAGCCTGGGAGTTTGAGC